ACATGCTTCAAAGCTTTCTCTACTTGCTCGGGCTTTGCATTGTAGATCGGAATAACAGGGTCTAGATTAAATTCCTACAACAAAAAAAAACATTATGAATAAGAGTCAAATTTTGGTTAAACTTCAAACACGACAAATCGAAAGGATCGGAAACTTTACCATGCCAGATACTTGACACATTTGCGCAAGCTCGTTACAAAAGGTACGGGCCACACTATCTTGCACACTTCGTGAAAAATTTATGCATGCCCAGCGGCTTACCGTCATTCCATTAATCATTTTCTGCATCATTCAAGTATTAGGAAACAAACATACCAGCATTAAGAGCATCAAATAGTTTCATAAAAATTTACAAAAATCTGAAACTATTTGATGCCATTGAAATGGTAGTTGTAATATCAGTTAGCAATACCTTGTTCATCATATTCCACTGGCCAACTTGGGGTAAACAATTTTTTTCTTTGCCACTCTCGTGATATTTAAGCTGCAAACAAAATCAATAAGATGAATAATTATGAGAAAAAAATAGATTGCATTATAGACATAAAACATTGATTGGAGAAGCACATTACCCAAGGAGCAGGGAGAATTCGTGCTTCCACAGAAGCTAGCTTCTCGCTGACTTTAATCCCGAATTCCTTTGCATAAGGATCTTGATCATAAGCATTATGCTGAACCGTCTGCTTGTAAGCAAAATCAAATTATAAGTCACCATAAGCCTCAAAGTTTTGATAACATAATCTTTGATAAAACTTGTTGAAATGCAAACACCACTAATTACCCGCAATATGTCATTTTCTCGATCCCGGGGTCTTTGGCAAGTGACTTTCAAGAGAGAGGTAATTTGCTTTTCATTCAATCTCTTAGTATATCGTTGTCCCTCGACGATTTTGCAGGCCTGAAGAACCAGAGGCATGTAAGAAAAACCAGTATAATTATGAGCAAGTATATGAGTATCATCAATGGCATGAAATTTTCACTACCTCCATAGGTAAATAGTTTGCTTTCTTTTGATTTCCACCAACTTGAAGGCAAGGAAGGTGTGTATGTTTAATAGTGAAACCGTACATCTCTTGGAAGTATTCAACTACTGACTTCATAGTTGAGTTCTCATCAACGGGAAATCTAAAAGAAATACATTTGTGAAAAATCATTAGAACTTTTATTGGACTTGATGTATAGCAATCAATAGTTACATGACTAGAAAGAAAATTTACTTACACAAGTTCTCTTGTTGGTTGAGAAGTTATACCAGAAACACGATACTTTCGTCTCACACTCCCTCTATGTGTCACTTCAACTTTAACTCCTCTGAGGGATTTCTTAATCTATTAAACATGTTAAAGTAGCTTTGTAAGGTCCTGTTTGAATTGGCTTATTTGATCACAGGACTTATAAAATTAGCATATGATATGCTCATAAATTGTTTTTTAACATATTTTCATATTTGAGCTTATACCAAGTGCTTAAGCTATATTCTTCATTAATATGTTTATCCAAACATGGCCTAAATTTAGAGTTTTAAGACATCGTGGAAAACGAGTGAGTCAAAACTTTTGCCAATAAATAAAGTAACCTTAATGCGATCTGCATCAGACAACTGCCTTGAGAGAACATCTTTTCCTAACAGCTGACCGACAAACTCCACCACCGGAAGGGGTTCAATGAACGCAGCAGAAGCCATATCTACGGAATGTAACAAAAGAATGTAAGATGAATCAAAGGTTGAACTGCATTTTCATTAGGAAATGAAAAAGGTAAAAAGTAATAATATACCAATATTGAGGGAAAGGCCCATCTGAGTAGGCCTTATGCTTTGGTAAAATCCACACCATGACTCCAATCCTTCTCCGAGACGTTGTGGTGTTCTAATATCAGGTGAATAAAACGACCTCCCAATCGGACAAAACCTTTAAAAAGTGCAGCTTTTGTTAGAAAAAAACAAGAACCGTAAGTTTCAGTATTTCACAGTTTTAATTGATAATTATTTTGTAAAAGTACCTCTTGGATGCTAGCTCTCTTAGTACAATGTCAAGAATTTGTATCGCCTCCTGTGGAGCATCTGCACGCTTTCCGGCCAGAAACTGCCCCAAGTGATGCAAGTTAGCCCTTGCAACAAATTTGATCACCACTTTGTATTCTTTTTCCCTCCTGAAAAATGTTAAATATCAGTTGAAATATGACTTAGTTCAAACAAATAATATATGACACTTTAGATTGAAAACTTGTTCATGTCCGACACCGACAAGACACATGTGAAATAAATCTTACTTGGGGCCATTAATTCCATCCTCTTCTTCTATAAGCTTAATCGTAAACTCTCTCCATGAAAAGGGAAGAACCCCTGCTGTGTAGAGACTTTTCCTGCCATCATATGCTGGAAGCCTCATGCCAAGGTCAGATTCTTTATACAGCCTCACAAGTTCTGCTATTATGGATCTGTTAACTGCTTTGGAAGACACTTCCGGTGTAATAGTTACCTATAAAATACAGTTTTTGAATGGTTAACGTAGTTCATAAATGTGGTTAATTACATTTAGTAAATGACTGACAAATATATCACATGTTGAACATCATTAACCATGAACTTGGATGTGGTTAACCATAACTTTCAGGGGTAACCTCATATAGATTATTTGAACTCCTAGAAATTGTGGTTAATCACATCTAAATTCGTGCTTAATGCTTCAATGGTTAATGACTAATAATTTTGACATCTGATATATCCAATAAACATGCAGTGAACGCAATTAACAACTTAAAAATTTGTGGCAAAAGTTATCCAAATTTTGTTGTTGGTATAACACAAATGAAGTCTTTAGGCAAAATTTAAGGACTCATAAATGGTACTAAAGAAAAAGGACAAGCTAAAACAGAAGCTCATTCAACTCATTCTGCAATTGAACCGAACACATAAGAGGAAATTAAAGGATAAACTTAAATGCTTCCATAAAGGGCTATGCGTGAGTCGCTAAGAAAACCAAACTATATTGTTTTTGCATAAAACTAAAACTAGCCTAATAAAGACATATCCCGTTAAGCCAAAGACCCGTCCCGTTAAGCCAGCTCAAGTTCAAACCCGCAACATCTCACTTGTTCACCTTTAAAGGGTTAAATTCCAGACACTAGGCTAGTTGATAAAAAAAAAAACAATGAAAGAAACTTACATCATACTGATTCAAGTCCTTGTCTGGTAATTCTGCAAAGAAGTGATTAGCTTTAACAATGCATTTTGTACCAACTTGTCCATAACCTGGCCTTTGAGCAAAAGTCAAAGACTTGCTTGAAGTAGGAAAACTCATCTCTACATCACTAGAGACAACGTTTCTATTTTGAACAACATGACCATTTTCATTACTTTTCACAGCAGTACAAGGCCTACAACTTGGTCTCATCAAAACATCAACTTGATCAGATTTTCTCCCATTTCTACTCCTCCTTCTTCCACCACTCTTTCCTTGAGGTGGTGGTGAAGTTTGGTTATGTTGCTCCTGTGACAACAATGGTGGACCTTTACCATTTTGAACAGCTTTAGTAACCTTCTTAGCCTGATTCATAGTGTTTGGTAAATGAGGTTTGATCACAAGATGTTGTTCTGAACTCTCTTTCATTTGCCTCAAAGGCATGTTGAATTTTTGCTGAGTTCTTGCAGGAATATATATATATATATATATATATATATATATATATATATATATATATAGAGAGAGAGAGAGAGAGATAGTGATATACTTTTCACGTTTCAGCAAATAACCAGTTTTTCACGTTTAGTTTTTGCCTATAACTGCAAAATAGTGAAAATTACTTCAGCTGAGAATACATAAACAAAGATGGAAATTATAGGTGAGAGGACAAATAGAAGTTATTATTGCTATAAAGTGAAAAAGCAAAACTCAATTATGAGTTGTTGAGCTTATAATGAAACAATGCATAAAGATAAAACTGGTATGGCGTGAAAGTGTAAAGTAAAGGAAACTGTTTAAGAATACAACACACACAAAAAAAACATTACTATTCCTTTGCAAAAACTGAAAATCCAACAAGTTACCATTTTTTCAGCAAGCAAACCCAAATATTGGTGTCAGATTGAACATGAACAATGAAGCTAACTAAATAAGATAAAAAAAAAAAAAATCAAATTTTAATGACATTTTGTCATACCCTTTTGATTGAAGTTTCAAACAACCAGAAAACAAGGAAATCAAAATGAAAATTTGGAGTTCAAAATCATGGCTTTATTTGACACCGACATGAAACATCACAAACAACAAAAGATAAACTATAAAAATAAAAAAATAAAAATGTTTTTAATGTGATGGAAAAAAACCAGAAAATAGAAATACCCAGAAAACAAAACCAGCTTCTTAGGCCTGTCCCCTACCAAAGAATGAAAATCAATAAACACTAGATAGCCACACAAATAAATAAATAAAAAATAATAATTGGAATTTAAATAAATAAAAAAAGTGAAGGCAAGTTTGAAGAGAATAAAACAAGCACAAGAAAACAAAAATCAAGAACAAAACATCCTTAGTGAAGGAATAAACATTGAAAAGGGTAGCAAAATTACTGTCTACTACTAGTAGAAGATATATAGACACAAAAACAAAATTCAAAATAAAATAAAAAAATAAAAAATAAAAAACAATTAATGCCAAGGCTAGAGAGTAGTAAAATGCTATCTTTATTAAATGCCTTGAAGTGTAATCAAAGTCAAAAAACAGAAAAATGAAAACTCAGTCACTCACTCACCTATAGCTAACATGAAAATGGGAAAAGAGAAGAAAAAAAATGATAATAAAAAAGAAAACTTGAGCTTACCCTTATGCTTATATGTAGCTATGTAACTAGGGAAGACATGTAAAAGCAATGAGAGAGTGAAAATGGAAGATGGGTTGTAAGCAAAGAAAGAAAAATGGAGTGTTTTTGAAGGATTTAGAGAGAAGGGAGAAGGGTGAAAAGAATAATATTAAAAAAAAAGTGGAAGATGAGAAAGGAAGATGATGATGTTGATGAATCTTATACACGCATGCAAAAGAGCTTTTGGTGTTTTCTTTATCACGTGTAAAAGGCTTTGCCTCTGTCCCTCACTTTGCTTTTTTGATGAGTTGCTCCCTATGGTGTTTGGTTTTTGGAGTAACTCTTATATTTATGCAAAAACAAAAGAGAGAAAAGAAAATAAAATGGAAATTGAAAATTTATTATGAGAGAGAAAGAGAGAGAGAGAGAGAGAGAGAGAGTCCAAAAGAGGTGGTACTGAGAGGATTATAAAAGCAATCATACAAGGAAGAAGAATAATTCGAACTTGCAGTCATCTCTATTGCAGGCTTCTGCTATTTGTGTTTTCTTTCTCTTAATAATAAAAGCTTGAGTTTAATAAAAATCATTACAGAAAAATTAATTAGTATTAGTAGTTTGTATATTATTTTTAATATTTTAATAAATTTAATTTAATAAAAATGAGTCACTTTTTGGGTATGATTCAGTGCTTCTCGGTGTACCTGATGAGTGGTGGGCTAGAATGAGTCACACTGTTGATGGATTTGGGTTGGTGGAATCCTGATCATGATGATGGATGAGTTTGATCATTGTGGAGGTGCAGTGGAGCTTACGGTGGATCATAATCATTGGATTATAGTGTGTGTGTGTGAGGGACAAGGGACAAAATCTGAGGTAGTGATTATTTATGATGATATGGTAATACTGTAAGAGGTTAGTTGGGTTCCAGTTCACAATGATATCTATGGGGGAAAATGAAGTGTGTAGGAATGGATATGATCCAACCATACTCGATTGTAATTTGGATTGTTGCATATTGAAATTGAAATACTACTACTAGTTTTTTATCATTACTTGTTGACTCCAAGGGTGCTCACATAATGTGTTACACTCTACCTATCATGATCCTCACTTCTCTTTGAATACTTTACTTTACAAATAATGTCAAATTATAATTATAATTTTAAGGAAAATTTAATTTAATTCTAGAGTATAATAAAACATGTCAAAATTAACTTTTAATCTCTAAAATAATCATGAGTATTTTAATTATAGAATTAAACATAAATTAAATTTGTTTGACACTTTTTTATACTCTCTTTTATTGGGAAATGGATCGTCTAACGGTATTGTGAGAAAATTAAGTTACTGTTTAAGTATTTTCGTCCGTCAGATGAATTGAGATGTTGATAAGATGTCGCGTGGAATTGTTGTAACTTTTAAAAAAAAAACTCATTTTTAAAAATTGAAAAAGGATTGGACCAATGTTGTGACCTTATCGTCTTTCTGCCACCTCCACCGCCAAACGTCATCATCCCAGACCATCCATCAATGATCGTCGATGTCACCACACTGCCGTCGTGGAACCCTCTGCTTTCATCTTTGCCATGCCTATTGTCGTTTTTCACCGTCGTCGACACGCTACACGGTTTTTGTCTTCGTTTACTTGTCCTTTGTCGGTCGTCTTCAAATCATCGACATCACCTCATCTCTTCACTGTTACATTTCTCACTTTGTTTTTCTTTTTTCTGATTTTGTTCCTTTTCAATCCCATATGATCTAATTTCATTTGTTATGAATGTGTTAATTGTTGGAATTCAATTTTATTTGGTATTGTTATTTTGCATGCCATGAGTGAGAGAGATGGTAACTAAAATTGAAAAATGCATTAGTAAAGAGACGACGGTCACCGGTGACAGCAAGGTTATGACACCCAAACTCACTATGAGAAAGTGGGGAAGAGTTTGCAGTAGTTGTATCATCCCCTTTGATCACCTGTATTTTTTGTTTTGTAAAATTGAGCATGTGGCATTATTTAAACAGTTTGATTTATTGAACAGTTAAAAATCATTGGACGTCACTCTAACATTGGCGCGTTTATGTTAGAGAATCTGTTGTACTCCAAAATTTACCCTCTCTCTTTTCAAGACTTTTCTAACAAAGATTTTCAAAAGCTCAAGTTTGCACAAGTACAATTGGACTTTTAAATGTCCCATATAGTTCACATGGATCACATTGGGCTTTCAAGCATCAAATCGAATAAGAGTAAGCTTGCTTCGATTTCCGAAGCTTCAACTGGATTTTGGCCTCCTTCAAGCTTGCTTCTATTTCACAAAGCTTCGACTGGACTTTGGCCTCCTTCAAGTTTGCTTCGATTTCACAAAGCAGTGGCTTCCTTCACGCTTGCTTCGATCCACTGAGCAGTGGCTTCTTTCATGCTTGCTTCGATTCACAAAGCAAGGGCTTCCCTCATGCTAGCTTCGACTCCACCTCTAAACCCTTCAACACACATAGTTTTTACACTATGACACACAATTGGTGGATTCTAAGAACATACAAAAGGTCCATTCGAAGAACTTGAATTTGGTGCATTCGAAGAACACATATTTGGTGGCCCATTCGAAGAATTTGAATTTGGTGGATTCGGAGAACCTATATTATGGTTCATTCGAAGAACACACAAAAGGCCCATTCGAAGAACATGAATTTGGTAGATTCAAAGAACATGAATTTGGTAGATTCGAAGAACCTACATTTGGTGGTCCGTTCGAAGGACATATAATTGGTCCATTCGAAGGACATACAATGGGTCAATTCGAAGAACACACATTTGGTTTTCTATCTTTTGATGAGTCTAGTCGAAGGCTACTGAACAAAGTCCTATAAGCTGTCAAGCCCAAGTTTGTTGTACTTCTATGAAATACTCATGCACCAAGCTGCCACAACACTCCAAAACTGTTGCAAAGCAGTATTGCTATGCTGCTCCTAATTTGCATCAAACTAGCATATAAGAGCTACACCTCGAAAACTATGAAAAGAACATACCCAAACTGTTCAAATTTCATTTGTTTTTCCCCCCAAAACCCCAGTAAAACTCTTCTATAAATAAGATGTTTCACAACACATCTAACGGTGGCTTTTTAGTGGCTGGAGAGAGGTTTGTTGGCAAGGCAAAGAGAGGAGAGAACACTTAAACACTCTTAAACCCAGAACAAAAAAGAACACACATTTGTTTCTTTTCTTTCGAATCAAGAATCAAAGAAATACAACACCTCTGTTTGTTATCCCTTTTGAATCCCAGTTTCCCTATCCTTCGAACTCAGGTTCCTTCTTTCCTTCAAATTCAAGAATATTCAGGGAAGCAACCCAAAGTTCAAAACACATTCCAGCTTCAAAGTAAGTCTTCTTGACTTTAAACCTTTCGTTTCAGGCGTAACATGTAAATAACCTTTTGTTTATTTTTTGTTTCTACCATTTCGTTTGTTTTCTTTTCTTGTCCAAATACATGTTAAGAACTAACATGTACAAACTACGAAACAATATTAGCATGGCTTCGACCCATACTGCTATCCAATCCCAAACGAAAGAAAACAAAAAAGGGTGTGTGAATCGAAGGGTGTAGGCTTCGATACACACTGGTTGCAGGCCCAAACGAAATAAAACAAAAGGGGTGTGAATTGAAGGACACATGCTTCGATCCCAGATTTCTGTTATTTCTCTCTTTTGCACTATTTTTGTTTTTATATTTTTCTATATATTTTCTTTCATTGCTATTAAATATGGTTGTGATAATTAGGACTTTTATTGCTTTGCACCCCCCATTTGTACATTTGTATCCCCTAATGATGTAATAGCTTAGGATTTTAATTTTCGTATTACCGCTTTAATATAAATTGTTAGTAATTAGGGTGTGTGTGGCAAGATAAAATCACAAAGCAAGGGCTTCCCTCATGCTAGCTTCGACTCCACCTCTAAACCCTTCAACACACATAGTTTTTACACTATGACACACAATTGGTGGATTCTAAGAACATACAAAAGGTCCATTCGAAGAACTTGAATTTGGTGCATTCGAAGAACACATATTTGGTGGCCCATTCGAAGAATTTGAATTTGGTGGATTCGGAGAACCTATATTATGGTTCATTCGAAGAACACACAAAAGGCCCATTCGAAGAACATGAATTTGGTAGATTCAAAGAACATGAATTTGGTAGATTCGAAGAACCTACATTTGGTGGTCCGTTCGAAGGACATATAATTGGTCCATTCGAAGGACATACAATGGGTCAATTCGAAGAACACACATTTGGTTTTCTATCTTTTGATGAGTCTAGTCGAAGGCTACTGAACAAAGTCCTATATGCTGTCAAGCCCAAGTTTGTTGTACTTCTATGAAATACTCATGCACCAAGCTGCCACAACACTCCAAAACTGTTGCAAAGCAGTATTGCTATGCTGCTCCTAATTTGCATCAAACTAGCATATAAGAGCTGCACCTCGAAAACTATGAAAAGAACATACCCAAACTGTTCAAATTTCATTTGTTTTTCCCCCCAAAACCCCAGTAAAACTCTTCTATAAATAAGATGTTTCACAACACATCTAACGGTGGCTTTTTAGTGGCTGGAGAGAGGTTTGTTGGCAAGGCAAAGAGAGGAGAGAACACTTAAACACTCTTAAACCCAGAACAAAAAAGAACACACATTTGTTTCTTTTCTTTCGAATCAAGAATCAAAGAAATACAACACCTCTGTTTGTTATCTCTTTTGAATCCCAGTTTCCCTATCCTTCGAACTCAGGTTCCTTCTTTCCTTCAAATTCAAGAATATTCAGGGAAGCAACCCAAAGTTCAAAACACATTCCAGCTTCAAGGTAAGTCTTCTTGACTTTAAACCTTTCGTTTCAGGCGTAACATGTAAATAACCTTTTGTTTATTTTTTGTTTCTACCATTTCGTTTGTTTTCTTTTCTTGTCCAAATACATGTTAAGAACTAACATGTACAAACTACGAAACAATATTAGCATGGCTTCGACCCATACTGCTATCCAATCCCAAACGAAAGAAAACAAAAAAGGGTGTGTGAATCGAAGGGTGTAGGCTTCGATACACACTGGTTGCAGGCTCAAACGAAATAAAACAAAAGGGGTGTGAATTGAAGGACACATGCTTCGATCCCGGATTTCTGTTATTTCTCTCTTTTGCACTATTTTTGTTTTTATATTTTTCTATATATTTTCTTTCATTGCTATTAAATATGGTTGTGATAATTAGGACTTTTATTGCTTTGCACCCCCCATTTGTACATTTGTATCCCCTAATGATGTAATAGCTTAGGATTTTAATTTTCGTATTACCGCTTTAATATAAATTATTAGTAATTAGGGTGTGTGTGTGGCAAGATAAAATCAACAAGTAGAAACCCCT